ACTTTTTATCCAATTTGCCAGTCTGTGTCTTTTGATTGGGGTATTTAGTCCATTTTCATTTAAGGTTAATATTATTGTGGGTTAATTTGATCCTGCCATTTTGGTGCTAGCTGAAAGTTTTGCCCGTTAGCTGACATATTTTCTTCATTGCGTTGATGATCTTTACCATTTGGTGCATTTTTTGGCGTGGCTGGTACTGGTTGTTTCTTTCCTTGTTTAGTGCTTGTTTGAGGAGCTCTTATAAGGCGGGTCTGGGGGTGACAAAATCTCTCAGCAATTGCTTGTCCATGAAGGATTTTCTTTCTCCTTCACTTATGAAGCTTAGTTTGGCTGGATATGAAATTCTAGGTTGAAAGTTCTTTTCTTTAAGGGTGTTGAATATTGTCCCCCACTCTATTCAGGCTTGTAAGGTTTCTGCAGAGAGATCCACTGTGAGCCTGATGAGCTTCCCTTTGTGGGTAACCCGACCTTTCTCTCTTGCTGCCCTTAGCATTTTTTCCTTCATTTCAACCCTGGCAAATCTGACGATTATGTGCCTTGGGGTTGCTCTTCTTGAGGAATATCTTTGTGGTGTTCTCTGTATTTCCTGAACTTGAATGTTGGCCTGTCTTGCTAGGGTTGGGGAAATTCTCCTGGATAATATCCTGAAGAGGGTTTTCCAGCTTGGATTCATTCTCTCCATCACATTCAGTTACACCTATCAAACGTAGATTAGGTCTTTTAACATAATCCCATATTTCTTGGAGGTTTTGTTCATTTCTCTTCACTCTTTTTTTCTCTAATCTTGCCTTCCCATTTTATGTCATTGAGTTGATTTTCAATCTCTGATATCCTTTCATCTGCCTGATCAATTCAGCTATTGAAACTTGTGTATGCTTCGCAAAGTTCTCATGCTGTCCTTTTCAGCTCTAACAAGTCGTTTATTTATTCTAGTTAGCATCTCATCTAAACTTTTTTCTAGGTTCTTAGTTTCTTTGCATTGGTTTGGCACATGTTCTTTTAGCTCTGAGAAGTTTGTTATTACCTACCTTCTGAAGCCTGTTCCTATCAATTCGTCAGACTCATTCTCCATCCATCTTTGATCCCTAGCTGGTGAGGAATTGTGATCCCTTGGAGGAGGAGAGGCATTCTGGTTTTTGGTGTTTTCATCCTTTTTGCACTGGTTTCTTCCATCTTAGTGGTTTTATCTACCTGTGGTCTTTGTAGTTGGTGACTTTTGGATTGAGTCTCTGAGTGAACATCCTTGTTGTTGATGTCAAAGCTATTGCTTTCTGCTTCTTAGTTTTCTTTCTAACAGTCAGGCCCCTCTGCTGCAGGACTGCTGGAGGTCCACTCCAGACCCCACTCACCTGGGGATCACCCGCGGGGGCTGCAGAACAGCAAGGGTTGCCGCCAGTTTTTTCTTCTGTTATCTTCATCCCAGAAGGGTATCTGACAGATGTCAGCCTGAGCTCTCCTTTATGAAGTGTCTCTTTGGGTATATGGGGATCACAGAGTTGCTTGAGGAGACAGTCTGTCCCTTATAGGAGCTCAAGTGCTGTGCTGGGACCTTCGTTGTTCTATGCAGAGCTGCTGGGCAGGTAATTTTAAATCTGCTGCAGCGGAACTCATAACCGCCTCTTTTCCCAGGTGCTGTGTCCTAGGAAAGTGGTTTTTATTTATAAGTTCCTGTCATGCTGCTGCCTTTTTTCATAGATGTCCTGCCCCTCACGGAGTAGTCTAGTAACAGTCGGCCAGTAGAGGTGTTGCTGAGCTGCTGCAGGCTCTGCCCTGCGCTGTGTGAACTGCCTTGGTAGTGGCGGACTGCCTTGGTAGTGGCGGACTGCCTGGGTAGTGTTGGTGCCCTTCCCCACACTGAGCTGGACCATCCTGGGTCCAGCTGCGCTTGCTGTGAAGCTCTCAATCCAGAGCATTTCAGTTTGCTTGTTTTGTTGAGGTGGTACCGCCTAGCCAGATCGTCTGGCTTCCTGTCTGTGTCCCCTCCCTTTCAGTTGAATGGGCGGCTCCTGTCTCCCAGGAGCTCAAAACAGCCGCGCAAACTTGTGTGAGTTTCTGTGCACCGACCTGGGACCGGCTGAAACCGCCATGCTGAAAACTCGTGGCGCTTTTCCGCCCGGGAATCTGCTGGTCTGTAGGCAGTGAAAACTTGTTTGGGAATGCAGCGAGCACTCACCCTCTGTGCTGTTCTGGCTGGGAACTGCACTCCGAAGCTGTTCCTATTCAGCCATCTTGGATCCTCCTCATCCCTGGTTCTTAATTAGTATTAGGTGGATGTTAGCAGAGTAAATGCCTATATGTATGCATGTTAGCTGCTACAGAGTATGTAGGTAGACATATAATTTCTCATCCAATCTAGACACTTTTGAGAGTGGAAGGCTCTGCAATTAGAATTTTGCAGGAACTCTCCTGATCCTTAGGGGGTGCCTAGTCACTCCATTGGTGGCATTTGGAGTCATGGCCCAAGTTAAGACAGCTGGGAGTCACGGTGCTGAGGAATGTGCAGCCCAGGATGCCTCAGGCATAGGACCCCAGGAATCACCTAATGGCATCTAATATTTGATTTATTTCCTTTTCCCTGTAAACCTTCAGAAACAGTTTGAAGTGACTTACAGTAAGTAATATATTCAGTTGAATCATGATTAGGAAATACTAATGCTGAAATGAGAAGTTACAATGTCGGAGATATTAATGTAATTGACCAGTCCGGCTACTTTCTCAGTGTGAAGCTGAAAACTGAGAGAATGTCTATCATTTAACATAGTTTTTGTAGCATTCTGTAACATTGAGCATGGATTTTGTGACTTATGGAAGAGAGCCAAGTGATTCTGCAGTTGAAAATGTCACTTGAGGCCAGGTGCTGTGGCTCATACCTATAATCCCAGCACTTTGGGAGGCCAAGGTGGGCAGGTCACCTGAGGCCAGGAGTTCAAGACCAGCCTGGCCAGTATGGCGAAAACCTGTCTCTACTACAAAGACAAAAATTAGCCAGGCATGAGGGCAGGCACTTGTGTCCCAGCTACTCGGACGGCTGAGGTGGGAGAATCGCTTGAACCCCTAGGCGAAACTTGCAGCGAGCCAAGATTGTGCCACTGCACTCCAGCCAACGCTACAGAGTGAGACTTTGTCTTAAAAAAAAAAAAAAAAAAAAGGAAAGAAAAGAAAAGAAAATGGCCTTGATCATTTACTCACTGAAGATGAAGAGAATACTGATTGCTTTCCCTTTTTATTTCAATGATGTACCTATTAGATTACCAAGGCGAGTACCCAGTAGGCAGCTAAGTACAAAGCCTCGGGGTCAGATCCAGGCTGAGATACAGATTTAGGAATAACTGGCATACAGATAGCTTGTTCTTTTTTTCTTTTCCTTTGAAATGTAGTCACGCTCTGTCGCCAGGCTGGAGTGCAGTGGCGTGATCTTGGCTCACTATAACTTCCACTTCCCGGTTTCAAGCAATTTGCTTGCCTCAGCCTCCTGAGTACCTGGGACTACAGGCATGCGGCACCATGCCCTGCTAATTTTTGTATTTTTAGTAGAGACGGGATTTCACCATATTGCCCAGGATGGTCTCAATCTCTTGACCTCATGATCTGCCTGCCTTTGCCTCCCAAAGTGCTGGGATTACAGGCATGAGCCACTGTGCCCAGCAGATAGCTTAATCTTAAAGAGCATGTGCCTAGCAATCTGTAACATTGAGCCTCCATGTCTTTTGAGGAGGGTCTTTCATATGCTTCCTCAACTTATTCTGAATCTTTAATGCCATCTATTTCCAAGCATCTAACTAGGAAACTGACATGTTAAGACACTTATGGGTACAGTGCCAGGAGACTGCACGTAATACTACCAGCTTGTGGCTGGGAGCGGTGGCTCATACCTATAATCCCTGCACTTCGGGAGGCTGAGGTGGGTGGATCACCTGAGGTCAGGAATTCGAGACCAGCCTGGCCAACATGATGAAACCCTATCTCTACTAAAAATGCAAAAAATTAGCTGGGCGTGGTGGTGCACGCATGTAATTCCAACTACTCAGGAGGCTGAGGCAGGACAATCACTTGAACCCAGGAGGTGGAGGTTGCAGTGAGCCAAGATCACACCACTGCACTCCAGTGTGGGCAACAAGAGCAAAACTCTGTCTCAATAATAATAATGCCAGCTTGCATTTGTTGAGCACTTCCTATGTGCCAGATACTGTTTTGATTGCTTTATGTGTTCTAGTTAATTTAATCTTCACAGTACACTAGGGGTAGTTACTGTGGTAGTGACTGTTGTTATCTTTATTTTGTTGATGAGGAAGTTGAGGCACTGAGAGATTAAGTGATTTACCCAATACTATTTCATTGCTAAGCGGGGGAGCTGTCATTCATATTCAGGCAGTCTGAAACTTATATTTTGCATTCTAATTATCAGTGTTAAGTATCTCATCTCTAAAGGAATAATCCATTATCAGTTTAAAGAGACTCACAATTTAGAAACTCTTTTGTTTATATATCATTATCAAATTGCATCTGTTAGTCTTACAAAGTTTGCTCTTTTAAAGAACACTGGTTACTTGGAGCTACAGATAAGCAGCTTTTCCATTTGGGCTTTGAGAACCATTTCTGCCAGTAACCCAGACCTGATCCAGCTACTGAATTATTCTCCAAAACTGCTTTTTCTCCAGGCTTTCCTGTCTCCATAAATTAAACCACCAGCTAACCACTTTCACAGAGGCTTACTACTATTCTGATTTATTCATTTATTTTTTTCAGCCCTGTTGTCACTACCTCCAGAACACCACCTGAATCTTTGTTTGCATTTTTCTTCGTTCTGCCTCCATTGGAGTATACACCATAATCCTTATTTGCCTCAACCACTGCCATAAGCTTCTAACAGGGCTCAGAGTTTCCACCTTGTCCCTCACTCAGCAGCCAGAGATCTTTTTAAAAGAACTCAGGCTACATTCCTGCTTAAACTCTCCAATTGCTTTTTCCCTGGCACCTAGAATGAAATTCGGATTACTTACCATGGCTGGCAGCCACCAGGTCTTCTACTGTTTAGTCCCCTGTAGTTATGCTATCCCACCCACTCCAGCCTTCATTCTGTTCCTCGGTAGGCCACACTTATCCTCTCTTTGCCCTTTGCAGTAGCTGTTCCTTTTCCTTTCAGTCCTGTCCTTCTGATTGTCTGGCTCTTTCTTAAGTACCCAGTTCAAACATCACCCACTCAGAGAGGCACTTCCTGATCAGGCAGGGAGTCTGGAGTATCTATCTAGGTGCTCTGTTACATTATCACACTATCTATTAAATTATTGTTAATATTATTATTTGAGACAGAGTCTGTCGCTCTGTCCCCAGGCTGGAGTGCAATGGCACGATCTCAGCTCACTGCAGCTTCCGCTTCCAGGGTTCAAGTGATTCTCCCTGCCTCAGCCTCCTGAGTAGCTGGGATTCAGGTGCCCACCACCACACCCGGCCTCTATTAGCAGAGATGGGGTTTCAACATGTTACCCAGGTTGGTCTCAAACTCCTGACCTCAGGTAGTCCGCCTACCTCAGCCTCCCAAAGTGCTAGGATTAGGTGTGAGCCACCACGCCCAGTCTCTATTAAATTATGTTCTTGTAATTCTCAGCAGAGCACTTAGCACCAACCATTATTTTTTCTTCTTAAATTGTTACTTTTTCCCAGCACTAGACTGTTAGAGCTCCATGTGAGCAGGTATTTTGTTTGTCTTGTTTGCTTTAGCTTCAGGGCCTATAGTATCTGGATATGTGGAAGGCACTCATTAAGTATTTGTTAGTTAACTGATTCTTAATATTTCATAGTCACATCTTGAAGACTTCAACCTAGGAGATCTTTACCAAAAGAACCTTGATCTGCTAGCAGAGTCGTCAGACTCCTGTCCCAACTTTTGAGAGATTTGGCAAATGCTGCTTTTCTCTTTTTAAAATTACATTAGTAGTCCTTGTACTGTCTTACTAACATTTTATTGTAACCATATTTGGATTTAAGTTTACAAATTATGTTGGAAAGAGGACAACAGACTCTTGCTTTGTAAATAAGCCTGTAATTTTTACTGGTGACAGCTTTTGTCACCTAGAATCAATGCGCTTATTCTTCAGAGATCACCGAAATGAGCTTTGTAAATATTTTTGTGTAGTATCATTTTGTGGTATATCCTTCCAATTGTATTGCTTTTTCCATGCTGAATTCCTTCTGGAAATGATGGAGTAGGGGAGCACCTTGGATCTTTTCTTTAAACCCAAATATCTAGGGGTTTTTTTTGTTTTGTGTTTTCTTTTTTCACACCAAAGTTAAAGCTTTACAGTATTAGTTTTACATATAGACAGTCATTCCTTGTAGATGTTGTAAATCATTGTCTCTACATATAAAATTCAGACTTGGAATATTGGTAGATGTTAATAACACACAACAGAGGCTTCTGGGAATGTTTTCAAAATAATTTGTCAAGTCTTCATGCTTAGCCTCGTTTAGATACTATACCAGAATTAGAGGAAAAAAACATAATCAGCTATATTACAGGGTTCAATCAAAATGCAGATAGCATTGACAGATATTCAAGGGCAAAACACCGGCAGGATGAATTTAAAAGGCAGGAGGAAGGAAAGAAGAAAGACGAGGGAGAAAAATGACTATGTTATTAGTCATTGTTCTGTATTCTGTGCTTGAAGGCTATAACAGATGGACCCTCAGATAACCTTCATGGTCTGGTTTAATTTACTTTATATAATTTCCACAATTCTTGCAAATTATTAAATGAGTGGTTGTTCTTGACAACAATTATGAACATTTAAAGGTGATAATTTATACATACTTCCCTAAATTTCATGTCAGGTAGTTCCTGCTTTAATTTGGTAAATGTCCATGAACCTCTTGAAAAATATTACTCATAAATGTGGAAGCCCTATACATAACTTTCATTTCCTACCTCAGATTCAATAATAACATATTATTTTGTGGCACAAATCTTTTATCTATTCTTAATCTGATGTTCCTTAGTTGAACGTTTCAGATGCATTCATAGAATTATACATTTTACTAAATATATCACAGCTTGAAAGATAGTGTCCCCATTTTTATCAGCTTTCATAGAATTCTTAATTGATTTTCAAATGGCTAATATTGCTTTTAAAAATTAGTTGATCAAGCTCTTAAGCTCTTATTTCTGAGTTTCTTGTTAAACTAGTTCAGACTAGACCAGGGGTCAGCAAACTTTTTTCATGTAAATTCAGATAATAAATATTTTAGGTTTTGCAGGTCCAGTCATCACTGTCATAATTCAACTCTGCTATTACAGTGTAAAAGCAGTTATAGAAAATAAATATGTAAACGAGTATGGCTGTGTTCCAGTAAAACTTTATTTATGGACAACAACATCTGAAATTTATGAAATTTTCACATCACAAAATAGTCTTATTTTGATTGTTTTTCAACATTCACAGTGGGTCGAATTTGGCCTGTGAACCACAGTTTGCAAACCCTCCCCCAAACTCAAAGTCACATCCTGAGTTGCATGTCACATGTCTTCAGGAGAAAAAATTCAAAACAAATCCAGAGAGAATTGTATTTTACCTTAGTTACTCCATTACTTAGTAATTATCAGTCATGTATCTGTTAAAATCAGATATTTGATTCTAAAAAATCTCAAGATTAATTCAGCAATCTTGAAGGTAAATAAATGAAGGACCAGGAAAAGACATTAGCTTAAAGGTATTAGGTTGTTAACATTTTTGTTACAAATAGGATTTGTTTTCACTCCTTTGGATTTTTATCTGCTTACTTTAAAAAAAAAAGTGAAATCATTGTAGAATTACTAGGTCAGCTTCTTTTATTTTCATTGTTCTTCAGAGGCCACACTTTTGCAGAAACAGGATGTTCAAGAGGCAAGATTCTTCATATTTCAGTGTTACGTATAGGTCAGACCTTATTGTTTTGAACTCCAAATAGTATTCTTACTTTTTAGTTGTATTTGCATTTTTTTGTCATGCAAAGATAGTCTTTATTCAAATTTAATAGAAACAAGGGTCACTATACTTTGCAAGGCAGGGAAAAATAAAATTTAAAAAACTTCTTTTTTAATGTAAAGCAATATAATCACAATACCAGAATATGAAACACTATAGTTTATTTCCTGTGGATTACTGCAGGTATCAATTTTCCTCGACTGTGCTATTCACAACTTGGTTAAGTCCAAAAATATGAAACCAAAGTGGTAGGAAACTTAAGACTTAGCGCTTTCACTAAATGGCATACATCGAAAGGCGTCAATTCATGAGCAAAACCTAGTTGAACTCACTATACCTACCTATGTGGTCATTCCAGCCTTAGAGCTGTCTAGGTCACTGAGCCTCCCTCCCTATAGGAAAGGCCAGGCCTGAAAGCCAAGGCGTTTTGGATATTCTACTGTGAGCCATGAGTAAAAGGGGATTTTCTTTTTTTTTTTTCTTTTTTTTTTTGAGACAGAATTTTGCTCGTTACCCAGGCTGGAGTGCAATGGCGCGATCTCGGCTCACCGCAACCTCCGCCTCCTGGGTTCAGGCAATTCTCCTGCCTCAGCCTCCTGAGTAGCTGGGATTACAGGCACGCGCCACCATGCCCAGCTAATGTTTTTTGTATTTTTAGTAGAGACGGGGTTTCACCATGTTGACCAGGATGGTCTCGATCTCTTGACCTCGTGATCCACCCGCCTCGGCCTCCCAAAGTGCTGGGATTACAGGCTTGAGCCACCGCGCCCGGCTAAAAGGGGATTTTCTAAAGAGAAAATTTTTTTCAGTGAAACAGGAAGGCCTGGCAACGGGAGACTTTACGGAGAGGAAGCACTTAGATCTAACAATTATGGACACACCATTAGGGGAGTTGAAAATGTACAGCAGTAACATGTTCTACTCCAATCACTTGTGCCACGGCTAGCAAACATAAACAAAAGACTCCTCGGGTAGTTCCCCTGTGGTCGTAGCCAGTGAGGACCTTGCCTGAGACCTAGATCTAGATCAGGAGGGTGATCTGAAGGCAGGCCTGGATCGAGACTTGGACCCAGATCGGGTTTGCAGGCCTGGATCGAGACTTGGACCCAGATCGGGTTTGCAGGTCTGGATGGGGAGTTGGACCCCGATCGGGTTTACAGGTCTGGATCGAGACTTGGACCCCGATCGGGCTTGCCCTGGATCGAGACTTGGACCCCAGTCGGGTTTGCAGGCCTGGATCGAGACTTGGACCCAGATCAGGTTTTTGAAGCTGACTTTGATATGAAGCCTGATTCTGACGGAAGTTTTGGTTTCTGTTTGGAATTGGACCTCCACGTGGACCGGATCTCCTGACTGGTGCCAGCATTCTCACTCTCTCCCCTTGGCCTTCCCTCTGGCTGGATTCAGAGTTGGGAGCGGTCAGTGTCTTCCTTTTTCTTCTTGCTGCTGCCCACCTTGCTGCCTCGCTTTCTGCTCCTCTCACTCTTGCTTCGACTGCGGCTGCGACTGCGGCTGCGGCTCTCCTCCCTGCTTCTCTTACTGCTCTTCTTCTTGTCTTTGCAGCTCCTCTGGCTCCGGCTGCCCGGTTTGCTCCTGCTCCGGCTCCGACTCTGGCGCAGACTCTTCTCCTGGACCCTGCCTTCCTCCTGGCTCCTGCCCCACTCACACTGCCTCGCTTCTCCTCCTCCACTCTCCTCTCCCGACTCCTGCTCCGACTTCTGCTCTGACTTTTATGCCTCCTAGGACTCCGGCCCTTGGGTTTCCTGGCATTGTCATTGTTTTGGATCTTCTCTTCAGCTTGGTCTTTGGGCTTGCTGCGGCCCTTGCTGGCACTGCAGCTGCGGATGCGGCTCTTGTCCTTGCTGGGGCTCCTGCTTTTCTCCTTCTTATTCCGACTCTGACTCCGGCTCCGGCTCTTGCTCCAGGAGCCGGAGCCCGACCTGGACCGGGGTCTGCTCTTAGAATTAGTGCTTTGCTGCTGCCACTTCGGCTTCTGCTCTTAAGGGAGTGTCTGCTTCTACAGCGAGGCCTTGAATGACGCCGGCTCCTGGAGTAGGACCGGCGTCATCTGGAACCTGGCTTGTCTTCCACTAATCAGATTTTCTGCCATTGACTTTTCCAAAGCTCTTTTCATATCAAAATAAGATACAACTTCAATCGCCGCCTTCATTTTTGCATCCCTTGTGAGCATCCACATAAGTCACTTATCCTGCCTGACGCATAGAATCCTTTAGGTCTCGCCAGCTGCACCGACTT